AGGAAAATGATCAAACATTAAACATTGTTGAAAAGGAAAAGACTTTATTTAACACCATTATATGATTCAGAAGTCTCAAGCACTGAAGACCAGAAAAACGAATTATTTTGCTTTTCCAAATACACCTACATTCAGCATGGAAGCCATTGATTTTTAAGACAGATACACCAGAAGTGTCTTTTAGCATCTAGTTACTGCTGATTGCCTTTTCAGCTGCCAATTCTTGTTTGGGTTTCGAGTAATCCCAAGGTCTCCTGTTCTCTGTGTATCCATAGAGCTTCCGCAGTGCCACACGTGCAGCCTCCTCCTCTGCAGCCAGCAGCGTTTCACCAGGGCCTTCAGCTAAAATCTTCTTATCACTTGGGGGAAAAAAAACAAAGTTACAACCCTGAGCACTGCTGTGTACATAAAACACATTGGTTTTTCTCCAATGTCTGTGAGCACTGATTTCTTTATATACACAATGGAAAACATTTCTGTTGTATTTCCTGCAAAGGTAAGTAACTGTATATTCAGTAATAGAAACTCAGATCAGAAATGTGTCTATTTTCTGAAAGAACATCACTCTCTTCATTTAAGTTCCTAACACAGCACTGATCCTTTACAGCATTCAGTTTGTTAGCCCTAATAGAAATATGCAAATTCGTTACTCTGGTTAGCTTAAACAGAAACTGAAGTGCTTTTGTCTTTTCTTCTCCCCTGGTAAGGATGCATTTCAAATTGCTTTGAAAGAACTGACAGAAAAGCTCTCTCTGGTATGAATTACATGCTCATGTCTGTTTAACAAACACCTACGGGCACTAAATGGGAGCAGTTCATGACGGGACACCAGGGATTCCAGAAGAGAAACAATCAGAATTCCTTTCATTTTTTATAAGACACATCTTAGAAGGCACAGAGACCAATGCAGGGTAAAGCAGAACAAGTTAAGGCAGCCTTCCCATGTGTTCATCTGCAGCTCCTTTAGGAAAGCAGCACTGATGTGGATTCTGTCCTGCCCCACAGGAGCGATGTCACTGGGACTGAGACAAGCACTGACCACACCCGACACAGATGCACCAGGGACAAATGGCACTTCCTAAGTCATGCCTGGACACAGACACTCATATGGCCCAGTTTACAGTGCTGCTGATTTTAAAACTTCAAAGCTTCTCTGGGACTTAAAATGAGTCTCTCTTCCATCCCACCTCCCTTGATGTCTCTTTATGCTTTGCCTAAGTCTTGGTTAGAGCTGTGGTCCCTCCAAAGCCATGCAGTTATGCTGTTCCCAAAGTTCCTGTGTCAGGTCACTCAGAACACACCCAGGCTCTTTGGTGCACTCCATTTAGCCTTTGGAGCCCTTAATCAGAGACTGTTTATGTATCACCATAGCGAGCTATGGCCAATGCTTAAATGGCTCATTTTATATGGAAGTCACTATCAGGTTTATTTTCTGGAACAACTTGACCAAAAAGCACGAGTAAAGTAAAAGACCATCTTCCCTCCTTCCCACTCCTCCAATTAAACCCATTTAACTTTAAATTAATATTGCACTGACCAGTACAACCCAACAAAGTAGACTGGCAGAACCGTGCTGATTCCCAGCTGTCTGGTAATTCTTGGTTCTGGAGCAGAGATATTCCTCTTGGCCAGTTCTTCCAGCAGTAAGCCCATAGGATTTACAACTTCCCAGATCTCAAACAGGTCTTTTCCAATCAGCTGGGGAATGAAAAAGTCCTAAACAAGAATATTCAGAAGTTACAATTAATGGCCTGAGATTGTGGTATTCCTAATGAAAATACAGTATGAAGAGACAGTAACTGACGACGAATTGCTGGAATGAATGATAAAGCTGCCACAGTGCCCCATCCCAGTGCTCGGAGTCTCTCATTTTGGTTTAGCCACTGCCAGACTTGTGCCCAGGGCAAAGTCAGCCCCAGACCCAGAGAAGGGCCAGCTCCAGCCTAAGGGATGAGCTGTGACAGCAAAGGAGCTGTGACAATGCAAGGGAATGTGCAACCCAAGGGTCGTTCACATTTTTGGATCACTCTCCTGTCTGTAAACACCTCCTTGCTCTTACAGACACCTCTCAATGGTCTTGTACCAGGAAGAACATTTCAACAAACACTTCTCCATTGCATCAAATTAAATATAAGTGAAAAAGATGACTGAAACAACAACAGCTGCTAAAACTACATTGTCACACAGAATTTCAATCTTCAAGGGCTTGTATTTCTACATGCAAAACCTATGAACTCATCTCTGTTTATACAAAACAGAGTTTTTAAAAATTGTAGATATATGAAATCTCAGATAGAATAATTTTATTAATCTGATAGTATAGTGCATGGAATATAATGTTTTCCCTTAGCAACTTTTGGCAAATATTAATATCACCATCATAAACCGAAGTGTATGATTTTATGTGCCTGATCAGCCTTTCTAATGAAAAAAAAACCCACCAAAATCCCCAACCCCCAAAATTCCAGCTGACCCTACCATCACCAACAGATCTCAATGTTGAATTGTTTTGTTACAGCTATTGTCAAATTCCAGCCAACCTCCCTGGATCTCTCCCCATCCAGGTACAAACCAGCATTTAATGAACCTACCCTGACAAAGATCCCGGTTCTCTCGGGCCCGCTGCTTTCCAGCAGGGCTCCTATCACGGCGAGGAACGTCCTCTGCAGCACGTCTGGTGGGGCAGGGAAATCCCTGCAAAGCGCCAGGTCCTGTATGGACAGGTTTTGAGCCACATAAGAGACAAGTTCCTGACTGGTAAGAAAATTAACCAGTGCTTCTGTGCCCTTTGCAGGTAACTCTGGGTAGGCGCCTTCAAAGCACTGCGCCAAATAAGCGCGGGCGAAGCGCAGCCCTCGCTCCGCAAGATCAGTGTTATCCTGGAGCTGAAGAGCGACCGCGTCCTTGTCCAGCCCCAGCTGCCGGCGCCTCGCCTCCTCGCTTTCGATGTAGCACGGATTAACAAACGCAGTCTTTAGAAGGTCCAGGGCGAAGTTTTCCTGCACCCGGTGGCTGAAGGCCTGGATCTCCGCATGGTAATCCCAGTTGGGCTTCTCGGACCTGCGGGCGCGGAAAAAGAACCAGCTCAGGAAGAGAACGCGTTACCCGCCCCGCGCCTTTCGAAAGGACACGAGAAATGAAATTGAGCTTGAATACCAAACCCAGCATTTAAATCCCTGGGGTCAGACACTGTCGGTTCATCCCCGTCTGCCTGCTTCGTTCAACCCAGGCTATGCCAACCTGCAAAGCTCAACCCATTCTGCTCCGAAGCATGACCAGACGGAGCCTAAACGTTCTGATTTCCCCCTTTTCTGGGGCCGTCGCACCCCTTTCTCCGAGCCCCGCCCGCCCCTCACCGCCGCTGCGGAGGTGCCTGAAGCCGCTGAAGCTCCAGGTACGCCCGAAGCCACCGCTTCTTTTCAGGGGGCGGCGCGGTGCTGAGCGCGGTGCCGAGCCCGGTGCCGAGCCGGGAGCTCCGCCCGGCCCCGGCCAGGAGCGGCCGCGCCGCCCGCAGGAGCAGCCGCGCGGCCATGGCGGTGCGGGCAGGGCCGGCTCCGCCCCGCGGCTTCCGGGCGGAAGCGCTCCCGGCCGGGGCGGCGGAACCGGGCCTGGGCTCTGCGGCCGCCGCCGAGCACCCCCGGCCCCGGAGACACGGGCAAGGACAGGAGCTGAGCAGCTGCAGCGCCAGGGCTCCGGCTTGGCCGCCGGGGCGTTTCGGGTGAGACCCTCCGGCCGCGGCAGCCCCGCGGTGTGACCGGGGAGCTCGCAGCGGATCCCGGGGCAGCCGCGCTCGCCGAACATGCCCCGTGGGCGGCCCCTCAGATACAGGCGTTTTAAATTTTTTTTTTTTTTTAGTTTCATTCCCACGTGCAAGACAAAGTCCGTTTTTGTGCACTTAAAAGAAGCTTTATTTTTGACTATCGCCTATACAGTTACATCTCTCAGCCCTCATTTGAACCATCAGTTCATACAGTACACGTTGAGTGCAAAGGTCATGGTATAAAACTCATGAAAATGCAGAAAATGTGCAAAGCAGGCCTGGCCCTTTTTATCGTCTTTACTAAAAGACAAAGGCACACGCTTCAACATTCACGGTAAGAAAACATGCACAGCAAACGCCCCGATGTAGTCACAGAACACGGTAAACAAAGCTCAGAAAGAACATGTGCCACATGTGCCAGAGCCCTGTGGGAGAAGCCAAGGAAGCAGGAGCAGGAGCCTGTACAGCAGTGCAGCAGCCACACACTGAGCCCCCCTGACCCCACAGCGCAGGAAATGGATGAGAGCAGCATTCCTGCAGCACTTGTATCAAAATCCTCAGGCCTTCTCGTGCTGCTGCTCCCGGGATGCCCAGTCCATGCCAAGGCACTGCGGCACTGCCCATGCCCCGTGTGCAGCCCAGCACCGCCCTGGGTCCCCTGTGCAGGGACAGCCCTGGCACGGCACTGGGGCCTCTGTGCTGCGGGGCTTGCGAGGACAGTGCTGAAACAGCCCCCGGCTCTTCTCCTCTGCAGCTGCTGTGCATCACCATCTTCACCCGCTGTGCCCCTCTACAGCCCGAAAAGGGCTCTGGGTCGCGCTGTGCTCAGGAACGTTCCCAGTGAAGCAGCGCTGTGCTGTCACTGCCGCAGGAGTTGTTCCCTACTGCCCGGGCAAGGAGCGCGGCTGCTGCAGCTGTGCCAGGGGCATGAAGCCGCCAGCCTGCAGGGAGCTCGCTCAGCACCCCTGTGACAACATCGCGCACACAAGGTGGAGCACGAGGCTGAGCAGGGAATGTTTAAACTAAGCCCGGGATCAGGGCAGCCCAGGCTGGCCCCCATCGCCACCACACAGCCTGACACCAGCGCCACAACCTGCAGGGCTGGCACATGCCCACCTGCTGCTTTGGAGCTGTTCAGGCCCCTGCTACTACTTACTTCAAAGACTAATAGTTTACATAAAGTCTGAAATAAATTCTCTTAAAATTATATTAAACAATGGTTTGGGGTTGGGATTTTTTGGAGAGAATTTTATTAAAGATACTACACCAAAATCTTGTACTCCATAATATTTTGATCACTCACAGACCAGCTTGCTTAAAAATGGAATTTATAGAAAAACATCCGCAAAATTAACCTAAAAAAAATACATATTACACACCTCTGGACAATCTGCATGTTAGCAAAGAATTCCTTTTATTACTGAACCTGAACACAAACAAGTAACATACTCATGAAACAGGACACACTCCTTGATTATGGCACACCTCAAAACTACTTGGACTAAAGGAAAACTAGTGCAATTGTTTAATTGCATCTAACAACAGAACAATAAAAATGACTTTTTATTCCTTTGTTTTTGTTTGTTTTTTCCAAACCCATTCCATTTGTTCTCTTCACTCCACAAAGCCCCCAGTGGTTAGTCCTGGAGACCACTCACACTGCATGAAGCAGACTCCCCATGGGCTGGTCCATGTTTACACAGAAGCATGCAAAGGAGGATACTGCAGCATTTGCAATGCAAATCTATTAAATACGTTATAACTGAACAAGGTGTCCCTTTAACACTGCAATTCTAGAGCCTTTATCTGTGGTGTAAGTTTCCAGTGTATTCATTAAAAAACAGCATAGAATCAAACAGAAACAAGGAATTTTGCAAATTGTGTTTTCAACTAGTAAATCTTTCTGAGAGCTGTGTCTAGCGCCGAAACCAAAGCCAGCTATTGAGTAGCCAGAAAGCTACAGTAATGGAATACATGATCATTTCCCTCTTAGCACGCTCTTTGTTCTCTTCTTCCAGGAGCTGGAGACGGCGATTAAGTTTGATTATCTAAAAACAAATAAAGGCTTTTAATATATTTCATTAAAAGCTGCCACACTTTCTAGAAGTTTCTGAATAACCATGTAAAATTAGTATCTCAAATGGAGGGATGTTAAACAGTTGATAGTTTGACTTTCTGTCTTCAATCAGTAGTGATCAGATCCTGCAGTCCCTGTTATTTAGGAACAGAAACGGAGTCAGATTCTCCAGACTCCCAGAACAATACATAATGTGTGAGGGCAGTCCAGCAGGGCCACAGAGAGGAGCCTTTGCCTTGTTTGTTGTGGGTATCTTTGCAGTCATAGAGAAGACTTTCTCCCCCATTTTACCACTACAGCTTTGTCCTAACCGTGTTTTACATACCTGTCTTCTTAAGGAGGCAGCATCTACGACTGTCATGTCATCTGGTGTCGCCTCGAGTGTCGTATCAAAGTTGGACAGACCGTATCTATCAAATAAAGGAGAGGGCTCAACTGTCTCAGCCATGCAGATCAGCAAGTACCAGATTTTATCAACATTCTAGTAGATGTATATTTTGGTGGTGATGGAGACAAGAATTACAGGGTTTTTTTGCAGCTGTTACAGAGTTGCATTTCAATAGGATCCTAATTGCATAAAGCACAAACACATATGAAGTGGGTAAGTGCTTGACTAAATTCAGGTTGATTGCTCTCCACACTTAAAATTCTCCACACAAACTTCCTGCTGACACACAGTTCCTCAAAAGACTGTTTCCAGTTTACTGATTCATGAAACCTGAACATTGCCTGACCTAAAGTGCCAAAGTTGCAAGAAACCTGGCAAGAGTAGAAATAACCAGACTTGCAAAGTGTCTTAAGCTCAGTACCTACTTCAATATCCCAGGGGACACTTACTGTGATTATGTACCTCAGTCACATTAATCTCTGTATTTTAGGCAGAAAATCTGGAAAACAAAGCCCAGTGCAGAGTCACTCACTGCTTGCCGAACTTTGTGTGCATTAGAAAGTTTGTTCCCAGGGCGCTCTCAGTTTTCTGAATGCAGGAATTTAGGAAGAGCATTATTCCAAATCCAGGACAAGTTAAATAAATACAGAATATTTATTATCAGTTCGAAAGTGGCAGAGAGTCTATATAGGTTTGTATTTTGATCATCCAAGTGCTGGATCTTAACCAGATTCATTTCCAACAACTAACAGGTAAAGCAGTTCCTGGTCTTCCACCTACTTCTGAGCTTCTCACTTTCTGTCTTAAAAAAGAAAAAAAGTTTCCAATATCAGTTCCCCTTGATTTCCTTTCTCATGAGGACCTGTGAACTGCTGCAAATATCTTAAATGGAGCAAAAATACCCAAAAGGACGTTAAGCATTTAATGGTAGTTATAGTCAACTTGAACTAACAAGAATATGAGTAGAATTCTTGGAGCTTGCAGAATGCTCCTAAGTGCAGAAACTACTTTTGCACTGCAGGTTCTTCCATCACTTTCCTGAAACTTCTCTAGAATGGCCACAGCTCAAGCAGCCTCTCTTCTCCCAACAAATTGTCCGGTTTCCACGTATCACTGCCCATCAATACTTTGTTTCTAAATAAGAACTGCTATTTCTACATGAGAGTTGCCCTAGTCTGGACTGTTTTACTTACTCTACAGGTCCTCTGAATACCGAAGAGATTTCTGATGAGGGTCTTTTTGTAGCTGTTTTTTTGTTAGTAGTACATGGTAAAACAATGAGAAAATTCCACCAGACCTACAGCACGGCTGTCCTTCACCCTCTCCTGGGAGAGGAAGCAAGGGTCAGCATTCCAGGGAGATGCACACACCTCCCTCCCAGCTCACATAACAGTGTATCACTGCTGCTCCACAATTTCCAAACCATTCCAAGTGTTAAATCAAGAGGGTACCAGCAAAAAACCCCTGGAGGTATCTCTTGGATCATTTTAGAAACTGAATTCCCGAGTTAGAGAAGAATCACCTGTTTGAATCCAGTTTATACTTTAACACAAATCTAACCTCTATTTCCATGAAAACACTGAAGGCTAAATGGCAAATGGGAAAAATGGACGTGAAAGAATTATTTTTTCCCCATCATCCAGACCATGGGATTATGTGTCAGTCTTTTACCCAGTTCCACTGAAATGATGTCAATCCACCAAGACAACAGCAGTGAAAAGGCCTCCAGCTACAACCAACAAACAGGCCGAGAGCACCTCCAAATTAGGTGAGTAAAGGCCAAGCTTTCTAGCAAGCGCCCTATTAAACAGCAAATACTTGAACTACACAGCTCATGTAATGTAAGAGTCTCCCCTCCCCTCAGGCATTAACCTGAGCCAGAGTTCTGCAGCACATTGTATCTAGCAGACAACTGAGATCTGGGCAAGTGACCTGGATGGGGAAGGAATAAAGGCCTGAAATATCTCAAGAGCTGAGAGGCAGCATAAAAATGGGCGTTGTGTTTTAAAATAACATTTCTGGAAAGAGGGAAACAGAAATCTGATTTCAGTATTAGTGGATCATGACTAACAAAAAAATGCTCTTTACCTGGTGTTGTCATGATGAGGGTTAGAGGAAGTGGTAGCAGCTGACCCACCACGTAACATTGGCCTACAGCAGGATTTTGTAGATTGAAAGCACATGACAGAAACAGGAAATGACAAACAAGAGATAAGAGGTAAAACACAAAGAACAAAGGAACATGAAAATATTTCCAGATATACTCTGTTTCAATATAACTTCTAGAATTTATTCTGTTGTAAATTGCACTTTCATATGTCTCTCATTCATATTTAATTAACACTGAATATTTGTACAGCTAAGACGTGTAAGCCAATTTTTGATGAAGCAGCTTCATTTACAGAGGACAAACTATTGGGATAGAAACTAAGGAGAATATTGTTAGCCTTATAAACATGGGAAACTTCAGGTTTAAAAAAAATAATTACCCCCAAAGTCTAAAACCTCACCCAACAATAACAGGAAATCAATTAATGTATTACACATACTTATAAAAGCCCTTTTAATCATCCTCTGCTCCCTGCAGGGAAAGGGGAGATTTGCCTTTCCTGTACTCATCTATGCTAGCTGAAAATCAGAAGACTTGGGCTGGCAGCCTAAGGGCCGTGTGTAGTCTGAAGAGAGGTAGATCTCTCCAGGGAGAAGTGACTACAGGCTTCAAGCAGATGTCTTGAACAGTGCCTGTGGTAAGGAGGCATTAGGGTTCCACATCACAGGTGTGCAACAAACTCTGCAGGAGCCTAAATTCTCTTTTCAATCTCTCTCATTTTATCAATGCCAACTGGAGAGAGATACTTGCACCATGCATTTAACCCCCGTACACTACAAAGACAAAGAATCTAGGTATGAAAATCTTTCCAGCAGGTCTGTGTAGCCTTGGGGCCAAGGTGGCTGGGAGAACACTGTGGCCTGGCCTGAAACCAGCCAGAACCATGCAAAAATGTCACAGGCACCAGCTTCACTTCAAAAGATCAGGATCTAGGAGCCTTGGCAAACTCTGCTACCTAACAACTATTTACTGGGACCAGCTCCTAGTCTAGTTAGCAGCACAAGTGCACACCACAGTGCTCCCCTCTCAGGCACTTAGGCCAGCATCATGTGTTTTACAAAACAGAAAGCCCAGTCTCCGATATGTGCAATGTAAAATATTCCTACCTAAATGTACATGGTCTCACAGAAAGTTAACAAAAAAAAGCACTATTCCTAACCAGAGAAATAATTAGCTGGTCTAAAATCTTCTCTGACAGATGCTACAACTAAATACTTTGAGACAGGGTATGAAATCGAGCAAACTATGGAGAAGGTCACAGAATTTCTCTGAGAACTTAGGCCACCTGTAAATAACGGGCGGATCTGTGAATGCCAGTGCCAGTACCCAGCAGGCACCTCCCACACAATCTGACACAAACATTTGGACTCTGTGTAATGAGAACAAGAGTCTCAAGCACTCTCTAAAGTCAGCCTCTCTGCTATCTTTTGGCAAACAAAGATTTATAGGTGTTGTAGAATTAGTCAATCCTAATTCACAACTACTCTTCCCAAGGAAAGCCACAGGCTTGGAGACAGCTGAGGGCTACAGCAAGGCACAAACCCAGAGCACTCTGGGATCTGTGCAAGTCAGGAACTTAAACTAAAGTCTGAACTGACTTCCCAACACAGCTAGGCTGTTAAGAAGTTGCAGGTGATTTCTTCCTTTTCTTTACAGTTCACATTTTATTTCATTACAGGTTGACCCAAAAGGAATACCACAATATTGCCCCACCTCTTCTACTTGCTTGGTTTTTTCTATCAACAGAGAACTGATTACATAGATCACAGTGGCCTCATAACTGAGAACCTCACCCCAAAAATTAGCAGCAAGTTTTTTGGGAAATACAGAATGTACAAGTATAATATAGGCAGCCGTTAAATGTTTGTCCTTCTTTAAAAAAATAAGCGTACATTACAACTTGGAATTTTCTGGCTACTTCTGTCAATTCCATCTTAAATATTAGTGCATAACCAGAAGAAGCCATAACACCAAGGTCATATGTACTCCCTGCAAATACAGCTGCAACCTCAGACTTGAAGGGAATGCTCAGGAATACAATCTAATACCAGTGGGAAAACAGGCAGTAAGGCAAGGAGCAACTGAACCTGCTCTGTCTTCTGCTGCTTCCACAGGGAAGATGCAACCCTAAACACACGGCCTGGGAGGAAAAGAACAACGGGTGGACAATTCAAGAACCTGGGTCCAGCTTCCATCATTCCTGTGCCTGTGAGTGGAGGACTGGGGCCAGCACACACTCTGCTGAGCAGAGGCAGCAGCTGTGCTCAGCTCTGGCTGAACTGTGAAACAGCTCTGCAAGTGTCAGCAAGGCCATAAGAATGGGCATTGGATAAAGGGGTGTGCTCTGGACATGAGCTGGGTGAGCTCCTGAAGTACAGACAGGACTGGCTGGCTCAAAGGGCTCCCCTTGCCTGTCCCAGTGCTGCCAGCAGTACAGCAAAGCTGGGGCTGCCTTTCCCAGCCTCCTTCATCTACACACCCATCCCATTTCCCTCTGAACTAATTATTACTCCAGGCCAGAGTCAAGTGTGGCCCTCTTTGATGCAGTCTTAACTCACTTCCCATTTTATTTCTACAATGAAAAATATCATTAACTTTCTCAATATAAAAAATGATCTTATAAAACCTCAGGATATGATTATGTGGGTGGAGTTTAGCATTTAAAAAGGACAGTGTCTTTTTAGAAAGGCCTACCCTAAAGAAAGGAAATTATAAATTGCCAGGCTCTTTCCTCCATGCTCTTTTCCTCCTCAAGAGATGAAGAACAGTTTAGATAAAGTACAGATTTCAAAACAAGTCTGTACAGATATGAAATTGTCTCTTTTTCCTGCATTTAAGACATCACTAAAATCTCCTTAAATGCGTGGAGTTTTCTAGGGGCTTGTTTGTTTGGCTGGTTTGTTTTCAGATTTTCTTCTGCTGCCTAGAGCATAAAAGATCAATCTTTAAAGGTCACTAGGAGTAGACCCTACAGTCAGTCCACAGAAATTTAAACAGAAAAATGGTTAGAACTAGAAACCAAAACTGACCTATTGTCCTTGTCCAAGCTGAAGGAAATGCAAGAGTAAATAGTGATCATTAAATTGTTGCTCATTTAAATAACTCTTTATGTGAGCAGTGCTGGCTGAGCTAGGCATAATTCATTATCTGCAGCAGTACCATCAGCACCTACCGTTAGCAGTTTTAGTAGATTGGAAAATGTTTGGGGAAAAAAAAAAAGACAAGCTATAAAACAAGTTAAAAATGTTTCCAGTGAGTAATACACAGCCAGATCTTGTTAGTTTTAAAAGATCTCTTCAAGTATTAAGCATAAAATGTTAAAATAGGTAAGGCTTTGAGATAGAAAGCACATTACACAGAGCAAAAGAACAGAGTGCAGGTTTGGAGCAATTTTAAATGAACAATATTTTGCAACCATGCAAGTGGATCATCCAAATTTCACATTCCCACGCCAGCTGTAATGGTGGGTGTCTAAGCACCCAGCCACAAAGAATACACTTTCACCTTATTGAAAAGTTCATTATTTTAGCACCTATTTATTCATAGGTGACTAGAAACAGGTTTCCCATCCCTTCTAGGAGGGTTAGTAAGAACACCTCAAAAATTAACTCAATCCAGGATGAATAATGCAGCTTTTGAAGTATACAGAAGCCTAGATTTTTTTCTGATAATTTAACTAAGTTGAAAGTGTATGTATGTATACGGATTTTTTTTCCAGAATCCAAGAAAACACGGGCAAGAGAAACCAGGAATAAAACCTGTTAGCTTCACTGCAGACTGGGAAAAGGGCTGCAGCTCCAATCTATGTTTTAACAAGGACTCTTGCACAAGATCCAGAAGTGTTACTTTTCATAGACAGTACAGCTTTTTCTTATCTGGGAGCTTTAATTTGGCAAAATCAATTTATAATTTTACAGTTTTAACACTGATAAGGAAAAAAGTATTGATGCCCAACTCTTGATAGATAGGCATCAAAATTTTAACAGCTACAGCCTGGTATTTCACAGGATTAAGTAATTCATTAGTTAAGCACCCAGCTCACAGTATTTCAAGGGAAAATTTTCTATGCAGCTAATTTTGTTTGTTTATCTGAGTCCCAGTTTATGAACACAAAGGCCAGCAAGACTGGAGTTCTTTACAATTCAGGAATGTTAATATGGGCATTTATATACTGTCAGGTCAGCAAACATGGTGAGCTACAGGAGGTGCCAGTTTGGAAAATGACTGCAAACACACAGACATTCACAGTAAGATTGGCTTGAGAGTCACATTTCATGACCAAAACAACTAGAAAGCAAATAATTTAAACTTCACACTGCACACAGTAAGTGTATTGCTGAGATATTAGCAGAGGCAGATGGCAAATTTCAAAGAACTTGCTAGCACAGGCCACACTGAAGGACTGCAGGAGAAATGAGCAGTTCCTCCCAGTGTTCTAACCAATTATTTCCACTTATTCAACCTCCTGGCCAGCCCCAGAGGTCTGAGCCATTGCACTGGAGACTGTGCAATTGTTACTTGAACTTCTGTGCTGGCATACAACTAACATGGAAATAGCTTTTGGTAAAAGAATATTGCCATTATTAGTCTTTGGGACTGTTTCTATAGTGTTAAACACGCCAGTCTTGGAACGCTTCCAAATCCCAAATCCAGACAGTCCAAGGATACACCAAGTGAGCAAAACTCCACTGAAGAGAATGGAGATAACTAACCAGGGATTGCCATGAGGCTTGTTCTGGCTCATTACTCACCAAGTGTCAGGTTATCCATAAAATCAGAGGAACAACAACTCCTAAGTGTCTCCTGCCCTTTTTTGCTCTCAGCATACAGGGTAGCCACCATAAGTCACATGGCCACCAGAGAGAATAATTCCATAAACCATAATTACATGTGTATAACATATATATAAATATAAACCATAACCTTTGCAAGTCTTGACACATTATCGAAGTAGTTTACAATGCCTTCTAATATTCTATTCTGTTTCTACACAATTTTTTAATGCTTTATGACATCATCAACCCAATCTTATTGATTTGCACCACTGCTCACCAACAGAAAAGCAGAAGGCAAGGCTTGTAAATTTGCAGGCTCAGGGTCAAGTATTAATTGCAGAATATGCTGATAATCTCAGAACAGCACAACCCCTTGCAGCCACAGGCTAACCCTTCCTATTAAGATTTTTATTTGGAAGGAAACCAAAAGAATCCTAGATTTGAAACAGAAGCATTTTGAAATGTGAATTTTGGACATTTAAATTGCTTATGAATAGTAGAAAGCAAAGGAAAGCGAAAGCAAATAATTTCATCTCATCATTGTGTAAACAGAAACCAAACTCCACTAAAAAAAAGAAGAAAAGAAAACAAAGCAGCAGAAGCTGGCAGAATCAGTGACAACCAATCACCTGCGGTTTTCATCCAGCACATCCAAGACCTGCTGGTAAGCCCTACGAGTGGAAGACTGGATAAACGACAAAATGCCACGAGCAGAGTAAAGATTAATTCCATCTTCAGGTAACATATTGGGAGGACAGACACGAGCCTGTTGCAGTGATGGGGTCACACTGTTCATACAAGCACAGTTAATGAAGAGAGAAATACTAGAGTCAGATTTTAAATGAAAAAAAGCTTTTCAGATAGACACCATTCCAAAATGCTTATTGCTTGCTTTTGGTTTACCCTTCTCCCACCAATGTAAGCTAACAGTCCCAAATTCCAGTAGTGTGGGGATTATGAGCTGCATTTACACACGTTCATCAGAAACAAACACAGGCAGTAATAAGGACACATTTTGCTCTGTTATACAGGTTAGTCCAAGAAAGTGCTTGTACAGCTAAAACTGTACCTGCTGAAATCAGTGTTCAAGTCCCCACAGACATCAATGAGTGTTTTTACAAGCATTGGCATTTTAAGAAAATCCTACACATAATCTCTTTTCAGAACACAAGCCTTTTTCAGTAAGGAGAATCTCACACAGAATCCCTTCAACACAATTTTTGGGAAGTTGTGATCAAGACAGTATTTTGATTTGCACATGAACAAATTTAAAAGCAAACTGCAACAAATTCCAAAAAACAGTACAAAATTCACATCCCAGTGACAACAAATTACATGATATAACTTGTTGACTATGATGGAAAAATATTGTTTAAAATAGGCAGTACTGAAATTCAAACATGGCCATTTGCATTATACCACACTTTACCAGAGAGAAAATAGTTTTGATAAACTGCCTATGATTTGCTTATGTTTCTTTACATTCAAAGTGAATAGTCACTTCCTGCACACAGCAAGACTTTTTTTTTTTAAATCTGGAAATTTTATTAGAGGTGAGATGCTTTTTTAATAGGAATTAGTGTTAACTTAATTGTAAATATTAACACACATGCAAGCCACGTGCACACTGCTGTACCCTTTAAATCTTGGGTTAGTTTTCATCCCTAGATTAGCACCCATAATTCAATGCATTTCCTTGCCACTTGTGCTTTGCTACACCAGCTTTGGATTTAAAATGTTAATCTTTTTGACATTGGTGTTTTAATAAAACATTAATGCTGAGTACTTGGAAGTTGGTTTGATATTTGGCTAATCTCTAGCTGGGTCAGAATTCTGTGGCTACTCTGACTTTGAGCAGAGCTGCTCTGCACGTGGCTGGCAGCAAGATCACAAAAGTGAGACAAAGTTCCACTGAACAGACTGAAGCAAAGAATGTTACATGAATGTCACCTCACCCACGGCAGAGCTCAGCCATCCTGGGCTCCAAGGGACACTCACAGACTGCAGCAGCTGGGGCTTGGCTGGCACTGGTCACTGTTTGCTACCTCAAGGGCAGGTATCTTTTCAGGCTGCCACAGACTACACTTCAATAAACATCGAGTTGCTTCCTTACAGCTTTTATTGTTCTCCCATACTTGTGGAATCCACCTTTCTTCTGTATTTATGCCGAGTTCTACTTTGTAATCAATAGTAGTGGTCACATCCACACATTTTACTACGGAATTGCACTAGAAATGCCAATATTCAGAAGAAAAATATCAAGCAGCAGGGCAAGTTCAAAATATTGCAACTAAAATGAATTTATCAGAAGTTTTACTCCTTATGGATTTGCCAGATTGAGGCAAACAAAGGAAGAGTTAACACTTGAACTCACAGTACGTTTTACATTAAAACTAATTTTTCCTGTACATCAGAGATGTACAGAATAGGGTGAAAGACAACTTTAAAAAAAAAAAAAAGGTAGCAAATAATATTTAAACATATAGCAATACAGAAAACATTGTGGAATTACTGTTGTCCAGAATGGTGTTACTATAAATACTACAGTAACGATATCTGCATACACAGATTTCTGTATATACTAAAAATATTCTAAAAAATTTAAAAGCAAAACAAAAAAAACCCAACCAGTTTTAACTAAAACTATACAAAATTCTCTAGAATTAAGTTACATGTACTGACTAAATTCAAAGTTATATAATAAGGAAAAATCAAAAAATAAGAATAATTCTATGAAGGGCACAAAGGCCATGACGGGGTGGATAGAGAAGCAAAATTTTTCTTTTATTTTCCTTTTTCAGGATTTGAAATTGCTGTCCTGTAAACATCTGGCAATCCTTTGGACTATGTCAGAGACCATGTAGAAGAAATATTATGAAGCAATTACCTGATAGACAAATCAGCCCAGATAACAGAAGAAAAATCCATCTCTGCCATAAGGAAATTTTCTAATATGTAGTATGAGCACTTATCCTTAGACATTGTGGCCATCCCCCTTCCCTCCTCCATTCCTAGTGAAATGGTCTTAGTTGTAGGTATAATTTGCTTCTCGTGTCTGAAAAGAATTCTTATATACAGCTCCACTGAGTTTATTCCTCCCTGGTTACAGACACCAGTCAATTTCAGAGCTCAGAACCAAACCAAACAAGATGAAATTACAGACATTACTATGAGAGAGCACAGTAGCATTTTGCTATATGCAGTTTTTAGCTTAGCAGTAATCTCCCCTAAACCTTCTCAAAGCATTTGTGGTGTATACAGGCTTTATTTCAGGTATTTCTCTGACTTGTAGTTCTGGTAGTATCAAATGAGAGGTAAACAGATTTAACTAATTAAGGTTACTTTAAATTCAAGCATATAGACAGACGTGCACATCATTACCTTTTCCTCCATGACTTGCATGAAGAACAGAATTTCTCAAACTGTGAAATTGAACTCTCTAGAAAGATGTGTTATTGTAAGGAAAAGGCTGGAGCAAAAAGAAATTAAGTGCTGCCCACTTTTCCATGCACATTTGGTGGTTTGGTGATTTTCAGTACAGAAGTGGAATCCTTGTATTCAGCATTGGCTGGCAATAACCAACAAAAAACTTTGTTTCTCCAGCTACTCCAAACTAGTCAAAGAACAAAGTGTCAAATGAATTAAAGCTATTTTGAAATTTACTTGTCCCTTTCTTTGGCTGTCAGGTGTTTTTCCCTATGCTCTTTACAGAGGGAAACAATTTGGTGAAGTTTGAGAAACCCTGGAGCAAAATTAGAAACCACACATACAGTGTAGCTGTTTCAAATTTTATATTCTAAACTACAGGTACTTAGTCAGAATATTAGTAGTGCAGAGAGCTACAGAATTAAACACACTCTTGCTTTTCATATACCAGGTAATGTTCAGGCTTACGTGCAATCCTTAGTCGAAAGAGGTGACTGGAACCGTGGCATTTTATTTCTTGGGACAGTATCTGATCTGTGCCACCTTGAATAATAATTGTAATCTCTTAAGTAAGCATCCATAGAAATAGAGGGGTTGTAATTTAGAGAGCTGTCATTATTGCTACACAGTTATTGTACCAGCAGGTACTTGTTAGTCCCAGGATTTCTAAGAGCATTAGAGAAATGCATTACTGACTTTAGTAAAGCCCAGCTGCCAAAAAAATTCCTCAGAACTGTCTCTGCACGCAACGGGATGACAAGAAGAGAAAGGCAATGGAAGAGAGACCACTATTTGTGCACTATATGTGTGCCAAGAACACAGTGACAGGGAGCCCAGCCAACTCAGACTTGCAAATCTATTCCAGAATGTTTAATTTTGTCACTTTCTAAGTCAAGCACTGTAATTTCACACAGTGCATTTGAATATTTCGTCCAAGGAGGACAACAGTGCCCAAGACTAAAACTTGAGAAGTGTAGTCATATTTTGAAAACAAAGGTTTTCAAAGGCAGTGCTCCAAGCACATCTTCAATCTTCATCACAGCATATGAGCAGTCCATGTGAACTTCCTTTTCTATTTGAAGATGTGAACCAAGCCAAAGCACAAAAACAAAGAGCCGATTTTTGTCAAGGTAGAGCACCACAACATTTGTTAGTGCAGAAGTAAACTATTTTTTCAACCAACAACACTGGATTCAAGAACTTTAGGAGCAGCTAGTTTCTTCTATTTTTTGTAATTAACTGGAAAATTATTATTTCCGGATGGTAAAGGAATTTCAAGGTGATATGAGGCAACAGATGCAGAACTAAATTTTCTGTAGTGCAAAGAATAGATTTACATGAAACTCGTCATTTTTTTTGCAGTTTATACTATATGTCCTGAGGGCTTAAACTGTGAGGAAACAAGAGCCAAGAGTTTACATTTTTACCAAGTACAGAAGGCCAGGCCTTTCTGCACTTGTGGGAGCCACACAAGGTCCACTGTGACCGTGGAGTTTTTACAATCTGAATTCCTAGAACATTCTCCTGAGAGTTAGCCAGGTACAAAGTCATGTTCTCCACTTGGAGAGTGACAAAACCTGGATGAAGGAGAAATGTCAGACTCAGCATCAGAGTGCCATAGCATGTTCAAAGTGATTTCTTTCTTTGGATCATACTGAATCAGAAGAAACAATTATGACAGAGAAAGAAGCCATTTCTAGGAACCTCTGTGATTTCAAAGCAGATGATCTAACACAAGACAAAGCACAACTTCTGTCATAAGAGGGAGGACAAGAGAAAAATGAAGTTCTATTAAAATACATTATCTGCAGGTCAGAAGTGCAGAATACTGCAAAGAAGAAGGATATCTTCCACATGGGCAGTAGAGATTACAGATCAGAAGGCTCAATATCATCTAGCTGTTATTTATCTTACAAGCAAGAGAAGAGATCCTGGTTCAATCAAAAAGATACAATAGAAGGTGCTTGGCATTGGAATTATGAATTATTTGACAGTCCTTATCAAGCACTAGCACGGGCATCAAGTGAGGAAAACTAATCTCCAGGTGTGTCATAATTTCCTGGCTTTTGTAAATGATAACTGAGTTATGCCAGCTGCCAGTTATATGTTCCTTTATCACAGCCTTTCTAAATTTACAGGACTCCACGTGTTTATTGTATTGCTAAGCCTCTGAAAGATTGATAGTAGATTAAAATACTGTGACAGCAAATAACATTCAGACCATGTAAACCCAGTAATTCTATATATAACTATTGAGTGACAGCAAAGCACATGGGCGAATTTTACAGATTTGGGATTTTCAGATTCAAGAAGTCCGGAAGTGTGAGAAATCTGACAGCAACTACAGGCAGAGCTAATCTTACTATTTTCTCAGATGGCTGGCATAGCCCACGACTTTTGGAAGAGTAAACTAACACTGGGATCAAGTGTAAAGCAATTTCAAGAAATTGCAAGAATTTCTTTACCATCTGTTTTTTCCTTTTAGAAAAAAAGTGACTTTTATTTAAGTGCAATACATCAAGGACTGGCAAAGCTGAGCTGGCAGCATCAAAGGGAGAGATGCTTCCACAGGAAGCTCCCATCACATGAAGACCATGGTACTCCAGCATGCACTGTGTCCAAACTACCAGACGGGCAAAAGAAAGCCATTCTGAAGTAACATTGCTGTGTGTCCAGTCCAATGGGACATTACTGGATACCAGAGTATCCAGTACTGTGACACTCCAGGGAACTTGGACAGTGAGGAGGCTGATAGAACACCCAGAGACTGAGCTGATCAGGACCTTAAAGATGGGAATCGAAGTTTTGCTGCCAACTCAGGAAGTTTGTGTGACTCTGCAGACCTGAGCAACTAGACATGTACAATCTTTAAACCTGCATGAACCAAAAGTCTGACCAAATAAGAAGGGAAAGATATGAAACAATATTTCCATGAATATCTGGAAGAGAAGAAGTATAACATATCTGGAACGTGCATCAGAGTACATTTCATTTTAGCCAAATTAACAGGTAGTACACACAGTACCTCCTAGTGCCCCTGATGTAAATAGAAGAAAACAGGCATTTCTAGGGCATAATTCACTTGATCTACTTTAAACTAAAAATAGGGAGACTCTAAGTAGGCTATGCACTTCTTTCCCTCTAGTTACTGAAAATTTATTTTGATGATGATTTAGCAATAGTGTTATACAGTCTACTGTATTGAGACAGATGAATCCCGTATTTCAAATCTTAAATCTAAAGCCTTTCCTAAGGCAAGTATTCCTTATGGCAGCTGTATTAAAACTTGGATATAAAAGATTCCTAAGTGTTATATTACAAAACCAGTTATTTCCAGGTGGTAAGATGCTGTCACTCACACTAAGCCATGATTAATCCAAGACTATCATATCTAATAAAAACATACAGACATGCATGTCTTCAGAAGGCACCCAAAGAACTGCTTCCTTGGATGGTAACAATAGGTGAAGTTTCCAATTCTAAATGCTCCTTGCTATTTTAGTCCAAAAAGATTAAGATATATATACACTCACAGATCCAATACATGAAGCACAGTGACACCACAAAAAAATTACTTATTCTAATATTTATGAGGAAATAAAAGTATTTCTTCTCCTATGAATGAAAATCATTGTAATATTAACAGTGAGAGAATTGGGAATATTTTGATGCACAAAGAACTCAATTTCCTGAAAATTCAGGGAGAAAAAAATATTATACCAACTCAGAAACTGAAAAATCTCCTGAAATAACAATTCCTGGTGAAACCAACTGTGAGCCCATAAACACTTCCACTCATCCACTGCAAGAGGTCACCTCCCTAAACAAAACCCATAGAAAAGAAGAACAAGGTTGGTGTTACAACAGTTAAAATGCTGCTCTTGCCACAACATAGGAAACGTTAGTTGGGAAAAGGCAGC